ATTTGGAATAAATGATGTGTTCTGCATACTTAATTATTGTTCAGAGGGTCAAAAAAATGTAAAATAACATTTTCAGTGTTTAATTCCCATTAAAATTTTGTATTCCTCTTGCACAGATTTGGTTTTGCTACGAATGCGTTTTTAGGTTGGCAATCTTTATCTGCAGGCACCACAGATAGAGATAAGACCTATTTGTTTACATAAAACTTTAAAAGACTAACACTGAATAATGTACAACAGGGCTCCTTTCTTGGAACTATTTTTTTTTTCTTTTGCCTTTTCTTCTTTAGAGATCAAAACGAAAGTCTGAAATGTGAGGCAGGGATTTCTAATGTGCTGAGTTCATGTCTACTTCCTCACTAACCACAAGCACAACATCTAAACTTGGGTGTTTTTACAGTTCCCGTCTCTTTAAAAAAACCAACGACCAGCATGTTATAAAAAATCTAAAATGCGTATATCTTATGGGATCTTGTCTTCCAAGTCACAGACATGCTTGAGAATAAGTGGGGGAGAAAGGAGGTGTGTTCAGACAAAACGGACAGCAGGACATCTTGTCCCGGCGCGGGACGTCAAACTGCTGTGCAGGAATGTGAGGACCGGAGGATGTGAGTGGGTGGGAACCAGAGCTGGAGAATGTATAGCGAGGCCTGGGAACTGTGCAGCTCCAGTCTAAAGCAAACAGACATAAGGCTCAACTTTCTAAAGCTGCAGCGATTTCATGCCTACAAACACACACACACACCAGATTCATGGCAATGGACAGTGCAGTAATGCTTCATTTAATAATCTGCTGTTTTATTTGCATTAACTGTTTTCTATGGAGGCTTGCTCCATGTTATCCCTCAAAAGCGGAAGCGCTGCTGCTTCCCACAATGCCTTCTTTTGTCCCACTGATGCCGTTAGTCTCGATTCTTATCAGGGGACATCCTATTGTCAACATCCTCCTGTCCGTTGGTCACACACACGTCCTACAAGCCATGATGTGAAAGCTGGAAGATTAGTTTTAGTCAACGTGAAGCGCCGCTATACACGGTTTCAGTTTGTGTCCGTCTTGCTTTTCTCTAGAAGTTTTCACCCACACACAAAATGCCGAAAGTCATTTCCTGTTGAGGCCATTGTCAAACTCCTGGCTTCCTGTTTGTGCACTGCTCTGTTTAGTTTGTCGTGGAGGAGTAAAAGTTTAAACCCCAGGAGAGGAAATTATGAAAAAAGTTATTCTTTTTACCTGATGGCAAAAATCACGCGCGTACTGAAACATAATAAGCAAAAACAAAAGGCTGCAGAATCACCACAAAGTAGCCACACAGCTCAGGTGATAAACAAAATGCATTATTTCTATAGCCCGTCTTTTGCCTGAAATCGTTTGCAAAACAAAAAAAACAAAAAAAATCTTATTGACAGAGAATATTTTTTTATGCAACAATGTACAAATTGTATAGTTTCAAAACCTAAAATGTCTCAGAAAAAAATATGCTTTGGCCTAACTAAACCATAATCCAGTACATTTCTATTTGATGAACACACCACCAAAGACTTTCAATCTAGTTTCTGCCAAGCACTATTTTGAATCTATGGGCTGTAACAAGAATGATAACACAGGTCTTACAGGAAAGGCATAACTAGAGGCGTGTCCCTACCCGTTTCAGACAAACCTGAAAGTCACACTCATCAGCACTGAGACCGATGAGTGACATAATGAACAGCAGTAAAAGGAACCAAGGAAGAACATCACAGCACTGAAATACTTTAAAATACTGTTTAGCATTAACATGCTGTGTGACAAATGACTAGAAGTTCAGGAATGTTTGGAGATGGGACAGTAAAGTCTGTTATCCCGACTAGATGAATCATCAGAGAAATTCATTCATATAATCAAGCTTGGACTCGTCCCACTGGCACGATAGTTTCTAGGATATTTTATACATAAAATTACAAATAACAAGGGGTGTCACAGTTATGCCTAAATCATGGTTTGGAACAGGAAAAAGGTTTAATTAAACCCAAAATGTAGCATCATAGTAAATCGTTTTAAATAACTTTGCCTTCATTTGAAGAGGAATTAAAGGTGGTGCAGAACTGACTAACTTGTCTTACAGCGGAAATACAAAGCGGAGAGGTTATAAAATATTAGGGAAGTGTTGACCTGATGCGACACGGCGTGAACACTAAATGGCTTGTTGAGAAGCCAGTGTTTGGTGGCATCTCAGGTTTCCGAAACTATCAGATGAAGCACGGGAAGTATTTAGTCCACAAACCAGTAGGCAAAAATGATATGAATATAGACTCTTTGTGTATTTATCACTTAACCTAAAACCCTCATGCTAAACTGTGCACTGGTGACTAAAAACAACCTAGCTGTTCTGAGAATCATCATTACCTCTTGTTCTTTGCATTAGTTTGGTGTGGAGAACTTTGAATATACTACTAGCCAACTGAGATTCACAGCTTGTCAAGCCTTTAAAAAAAAAAAAAAAAAAAAAAAGCCAAAAAAAAAAAAAAAAAAAACATTTCCGGACTTTACCAATATAAAATAACATCTTAAAAAGTAGTTAAAAGACCTATTTTCAGATTATTGTAAACCAACTTTTACAACAGGGTAAAAACAGGGTGGATATTATGAGCCATCTGTTGTTTTGTACAAGAAAATATAGCAGGGAATAAAGATATTTAGTAACTATGACTGCTGCCAGTTTGTGTTATTTTATGCTTGCATAAGGCTTTCATGACACTAAACTTTTGAATTTCTCACATGTACTCCAAACACAAGATGTTGATTCAAACACACCTGCATCTGACTGTGAAACAGACCGAAACACATGACAGCATTTGAGTACTGAATGTATCCTCTTTGTCAACAGTGCAGGAAACCAAGTAAGGATTAAGCTCCCAAACAAGAAACTAACAACACTTTCCTTCCCTGTCCATTAAATCCATTTTCCACTATGGTGGAGAGGGGAGGAGGTAAGGCATAAGATGCAGAAAAAAGGCAGAAATGTGATTATAGGGAGATGATGAAGATTACCAAACTACCAGGGCATTAGTGCCAGCCACGGTGCACGGTACCACAGGACCCATTAGAGCTTTTAGCTCCATTTATTAGAAAACCATTAGAGACAACTAGTTTAACCCCCCAGACCACCCACTTTTAAGTGGCAGAGGCAAATGAACTCAACGGGAATCGGCCGCTCCCCTTATTGGTTTGGCTGCGACTATAAAAAGAGACAGCTGTATGTGTGTGCCAGCCTGGTTCACCAAGGCAGGGTAGTGTAAGACCAGCAGAACAAAAGGCCAGCAGCTTCAACCCGGATCAGTCAGACGTTCACTATTATCCAACATGATTAACAGTGACGCAAGTCATGGCTGCTAATTATTAATGCTGCCAGGCTAAAACCAAGCCAAGGAGATGAAAGAGGCCTTCTGTCTCATGCCGAGGACCAACCCACTCACTCATTATAGTGACACAATAACACAGCATGGAAGAATGTTGTGTAAAAGCTTTACAACCAAATGTAATATTAACAATATATATTTTCTATAGGCTTATAGTAAAACCATATTAAACAACACTGACTGTTTGTTACATTAGGAGAAGCTTAGTCCCACCAGTTGCTGTGCATTCAGGAAACAATGCTGTGGATAAACTAAAAGAAAATTAATGGATATTGAAAGTGTCTGTTGATGTGGAAAAGAAAATTGCACTCATCATTGTTAGACAAAAACAAGGTGATGCTTTACCCAGAATCATGAATAAATCATGAACATAAACAAGAAAAGGTATGTTTTAACAGAAAACAAGAACATAAAGGCATAGATAACATTACAGCAGTTTATTTACATTTTTGAGCTTTTAAATGGCTAAAATATTTAATATTAACACTATTACGTGGAAGGACTGTGTAAAAAGTGGAAGAGAAACGGAAGAAAGCCAGCAGACATTCTTCACATGTATTTATGAACATAAGACCTCACACAATTATGGCTTTAAACTGACACGTAGGGTTTTTAGAGCTGCCATAAAGACATTCTTGCGACCGAAAATGTCGCTCCATTACGTTTTTTTTTTTTTTTTTTTTTTTACTCACCGACTCCTTCTTCCGACTTTAACACCATGCTGTTCTGTCAGCAAGTCCGCGTCCGCAGAGAAAAAAAGTTTCTGGAGGCTTCCGAGAGCAAAAACTTTGACTACTAACCACTGCCGATAGATTTACGAGTCTTGAAAGTTTTTTAACTAAAAGATAAATAGCGTAAGATAAAGCGAAATGAAAGCCTGTTCGTAGTAGGAACGGTACCGCCGTCAGACCAAAGGGAGTGGTTTCAAGGTACTAGACGGACTTTTACCAGCCCTTCCCTCCTCAACCGAGACCAGGCGTTTGTTTTGCGCAAAGTCAAATGAACAGTTAAAGCGAAGCACTTCCTGTCGGGCTTTTCACAATGAAAGCTTACACATGAATTCAGGGAAATGCCTTTTCTAGAGTAGCAGACATAATACATCGCACTGAAAATACATAAAATAAAACAAAACAAAATGCACAGTACGGAGGATACAAATATGGAAAAGAGAAGCACACTAATATTTAGTTTAATAACAAAGGTTATGTAAAATTAGAAGGACTGTGTATTAAGTAATAATATTCAATTAATCACATTATAAATTAAAATGAGTTTGATCATTTCAATTTGCATGATTGTTTTTTTTTCTTGTTTCTCTGTCTTTCTATTAATGACTGGATGACAAAAGGCTTCAGTCTGGAGCATTGGTTTCAACTAGCCTCTCTTTCTTAAGGACAGTTTTACTTACAGAGACTTAGGTATCAATTTTATTTGTTGTTTCAATGTTTTATAAATTTATTTTGGAATTTTTAAAACGTCTTCCAGTTCCAGTGTTAAATGTTCATTAGAAATGAAAGTTTATTGATCTTTGAGAGAGTGTACTTGCATTATTATACCATTACCATTATATTATCACAATAACTTCTGGGGTAATTTATTGTCCATCAAAATGTATTATTGTGACGGAAATTAATGTGAATGGATTAAATTATATAGCCCCTTTCCAGTCTGACTGGAAAGGGGCTATATAAAAGTACTCAAAGTACTTACAGTGCCGCTCTATTCACTAATTCACACTCACATTATAAACACGTACATTTTTAGATTTGTGATTTTGCACATTTCCCTTCTGTAGCAATGCAGACAGAGAATTGGTTATGGAATTCATACTCTTAATTTGAAGGGCAAACACCACTTCCGGTTTCAGTGTCATTTCTGGCACAGACAGAAACCAGCAGACTGGTTATGTGCTTGATCTGTTACCCACAATATCGCTTGCAGACGCACGTACACACGCACATGTGCACAGATCTGTTGTTGGGAGAGGACTGATAGGGGGCAGGGAGAGAATAAATGACACACACACTCTCTCTCTTTCCTGCAGAACTCATATTTGGGCTCTCCACTAAGCCACATCCGTAAAGCAAAAATCTGTGCCTTCAGACTTTCACCTCGGAAACAAAAGTAAGAAAATAGCATCGAAATTTGTTCAGACAAATAGCCATTTCCGAACACCTGTTGAATTAAATGGCTTTTATGCACAAATTATAGAAGCCACCTGCATTTTTTTTTCTTACTTTGCCTATATGACATAAACATAGTTTTGGTCATACAAGATATCAATAACAAAAAAAATACAGCATATTTTACACTACTTAAAACAATCCTTATCAAAGACACTACTCCAGTAACCATATTAAACTGTTTCACATTTTGACTATTTTAATATGTTTTACTATGTGTGAACGACAAACACAAAACAGTCAGTACCTGTGAAGTTGAAGGGGAATGATTCATGGTTTTGAAATCTGAGTGGGTGTTGCATTTGTGTTCAGTATGGTACCCCAAAATTAAATGTCAAACCGCCAACTCCCCTCAGAAGTAAATAGTTAATACTTCTGTGTTCAATTTAATGTCCAGCTGTTCAGGAAAGTCCTCAAAAGTTTGTTAAAGAACATCAAGTTGCAGAGATACACGGCTCAGGTGGGTGGGAAATACCGTCAACAGGACAGGACAGATATTAGTTGGTCACCCCACAACATTGGATATCTGGGTAGCAGCCAGAAAACCATAAGAAATATCATTTGCAAAATGCCATGATCCATATAGAATACAAAGCAAAATGGGGAAAAAAGGTCAGTCTGGTCATTTGAGACCAAAAATTCCAGTGATAAATGGTAAGGGGATGTTGTTTTTTTTCCTTCAAGATGGAAATTTCTTGTCTGAACTAGAAAAAACTGAGGCCATTCTTTTCTTTTTAATGAAATGAAATAAATCAGTCTGTCATTTGGATAGCATCTGCACCAGATGGTGCTCTCAAATAATTAAAAAGCCTGTTTCTACCTGTCGATAAAAACAAGAGGAATGCAGCTCACCAGCCTGAGTGAGGCCAGGTAGAGGCAGACAACCTCTCTGTCCTGCATTTATTGCCCTCTCTCTTGAAATTCATTTGTGCCCTGTAAAAGCAGCTTTGGCAAACATTATGGTGGGTTTGGTCATCTTGCAGTGAAGCTTCTCCTGTTGCATTGTTGATTTTATTGATCTGCTTTTAAAGATTTACCTGTTTTTGAATATAGTCCTCCAACTTCTCCAATGCTATCTTTGCTCCAGACTCCTTATCTACAAGCTGTGACCAATCCAGCTGTGCGCTGCAACCTCTACAACTGACAATGCTGTCTGTGTGAAAACAAACTCCTTCACACAAAGTTTCCATTCATTGTTGCTAGTTCATGCATGCCCCCAAGCACTGCTGCACAGATGGGCCTAAACCCCAGAACAAATGAAACCAGAGAGCTGTTTGACCTTCACATGAGAAGATCAGGAGTTAATTATGAACACACAAAGTTTACCGTCTCCTGCTTCTTCGTGAAGAGTAAATGTGACGTTAACAGAGTGTTTATGCAAACATTGAATCATCGTCATTCTGCATTGTCAGGCAAAGAGCGTTTTATTTCCAAGCACGTAAAATGATGCATTTGCAAACAATCTTTACATTTTATTTGTATTAAGGTTTTTTTTTTTGTTGTTTTTTTGTAGAAATAGCCATTCTATATTTTAATATACTGCATGCTAATTAATTTTGAAATAAATATCTTATCAACAACTTTTGCTGCTTAACCCCAGGGTTTATTTTTTTTTCTTTGGATTATAACTGTTATCACAAACAACTCCTAAATTATGTTGTGATGCTACACCGTAACATAATGACACTTTGTTTGGAGCAATCCAGCCTGAATGTACAAAACGTATATAATCCCTTTGCAGATTCACACACAAACACTAGTCAAATTCAAATAAAAAGAATACATGAAAAACAATAGATGATGCTGATAATGATGATGAGTTTAATATAAAATAAAAAAAACAACAAAAAAAAATGTGAAATCAGAAAGATTAAATTTTGATGGGGGGTTTTCTGCTAAGAATTTTTGTCTGATAATTTGTGTGTTTGTTTTTTGAGGAATTGTGCCCTCAACATTAAACAGAAAGACACCAACAGCGCCCTCTGCTGATCATTTTTTTATTAAATGCGAAATGTAAACCCCTGGTATATTTTGTAATATTTCGTGTTCTGCGGTTCTTGTTTTTCATTGTATTTGTAAACAAACATATTCATAAAAAATAAAACATTAAAACATTTTACTTAATTGCTCACATTGTTTTATGACATTTCAGCTGGATAAACGAATATATAAAGTTAAAAACATAATCAGAATGTAATTTACCCATTTATTTTTTTCATCATTATTGGTTTTTAGCCATTTTTCTTTAGAAGACAAACAATTTCTTGTAACACTAAAAGACCACAGTCAAGTTTTGTAACAATAATCTTCATTTTGTTAGGAAACAAGAGTACACTACACACTCTTGGGAAATTATATATATGTTTTGTATATATATTTTACTCTTATCAAAATAAAAACATATAAATGGAATTTATTCTGGTCCTTCTTATATGGAGGACCATAATATATCCTACAAACAAAATGTATGTCAAGAAAATGTGCAGAGAAGCAAGCAAAGACCAATGATGACACACACACAAAAAGAAAACAGTTTGCATGGCAAACATTAGCTCTGCCTGTAGCTTCGCTGCCCTCCACATGACTCACCACACGACCTGATTTTGAAACCACCGCTCTCAGTTTATAGGTGCAGTAATAAGACCTTTGGATCAATGTAACCTATAATTTTGTGTGTGTGTGTGTGTGAGGGGAGGGGGTGATCCTGAAATAAGAGACGTTCTAACCCCAATATCACATTTCTAATGATGGCACAAGAGTAGAAAAGCACTTTGTGGGTGGCCAATCACATCACGGTTACACAATGTGTATTGAATGGCACACCTTTTAGCAGATGCTACCTGCCTTGCACAAACACACAAAAATACGTATGATGAAATCAGCCTAAACCAACTTTTGCAAAAGGATGTAGAATACAGAGAGTTCCCACTAGAAGATGAGTAAACGAGAGCATTATTGTATTTGGTGTAAAAGTCAAAGCAATAAGCAGAATAAAAACATGAATACAATACATGAGTTTCACTAAGAAATAGACCTTTTGCTTTTTTGTTCATCATACACCATTAATCAGGTCAGGAATGTCAGCGGAAAACCAATCATTTTTACAGACATACCTATTGCTGAGTATGGAGCTGTTTGGACCAACTTCATCTGTCTCACGATTCCCACACATTCCTGCTGGAGGCGGCTCACTGCCAGACTCTGCCTCGCTCACTATCTAAAACGCATCAGACTGTGTGATAACAGAAGAAGACAGATCTTCGCTCAGAGGAAGCAAAACACATGTGATCTGTCCATTTGCATTAGATTTGCATTAGATATTTCTTTTACTCTATCCCAGTGCACGCATTTACTAATTAACTATCCTTACTACATATTTAAATAATGGGAACTGTGGAAATTTTATCTGCATAAATTATGCTCTGGACACTTTAGAAAGGGATGAAATTAAACTTTACTTAGTTGTTGTCGTCATCAAACAAAAACGAGAAAACACTATTATGTTTGTGTGGAAATGCTGTTTGGTTTACATCACACAGGAGGCTGTAGTTTACTTTCGACAACACTTCCAAATGACTTCTACAGTTTATTTGTAATTTAGTGTCATGAACATTAGCATTGCTAACTGCTAACTGAGGCCTGAGATTTTTTTTTATTGATTTTTTTTTTGTAATTCATCCTAATTTAAATTTAGGATGAATTTGCTAAGATATTCACTCTGGAAGCTATTTTGAATATATTCCACCCTATAATAAAAATTTCCACAGTAGAATGAATGACTCCGAATTGTTTTGCATTTGCTTTATAACCACTTTATGACGTCTGTCTGTCTTGGTATGATGTTAGCAAACACCTGTTGGATTCAGAGTAAACTTCTGCTTTTATAAACAGGCGTAAACCTGCTGATGATTAGTTTATTATGTGTCTAAATTAGTTGCAGCTTGCTGATGCTTCTGTTTCAATACCCATGTCTTTTTTTTTTTTTTTTTTTTTTTTTTTTTTGGTTTAGTGAAAGACGACAGTGTGAATTCAGTCTGTGCTTTTTCAAACTTGGGTCCAGATTTAAATAAATAGATATTCCTTACTTTAGTTTGGGGCCAGCTGTACGGCTCAAGAAATTACACCTACACAAAAATGAACACATCAATACATATATAATTTTTTTTAATATCTTAATCGCAAGCAATACTTTTAAAATCCTGAGAAGCAAAGAAAATTGACAAACACACCGAGTACAATGACAATAAAAAGATGACAAAACGTCAAGAGAAGACCTAAACAAAACCTTCCAGAGAACGACCACAAGCTTGAAATAGCTGGCAACAACTGACATCACCAGATGCTCCTTTGCGACAAGCTGATCTGGCAGAAATTCCCGTACGCTCGCTGCATCTGACAGACTTGTGTGAGCCTCCATACAGATCAGTGTCCTCAGCTGCCCCCAGAGTCGGCTCTCTATAGGCTCCCTGCCAGAATCTCAGCAAATGTTTCACAGTGCACCTGTCTCACAGCCCAGATGGTGACTGTGTCGTTATTAGTCAGCTAAATTATCAATATAGCTGTTGCGCGGGACGCGATGCCCAATATCAGCATGCTGAGTCACGTAATCCCTCTGATAGTTGGTCTGACATTTGCAGCTGGGAAGAGGAGTGATACGCTAAAACACTTTCCAAAAAAAAAAAAAAAAAGATTCGAGATGAGGTCACTTTTGGGTCAGTAAAAAATTCTTAAAACATAATAACGGCATTGAAATAGAAACTGTTGTGGCCTGAAAATGCATAAATGCATCTGCAACACTGGGTCATTTATTAGCAAAAGTTATATGGAAAAAGTGTTCAAATAAATAGGCTTTGTGTTACAGTTGCGTGCTCTACACCTAAAAAAAAAATCTGCTCATTTCCCTTATGCTGTTGTATATTTAAACCTGTTTTTGTTGAAGTCACAGCAAGAGGTCATCCAGTTAAAGTAATCTTCTAGCAATCTTCACACAGGAACTACAATGAAAAATAGATATTCAAATCACTTTATAAAAGAAGACCTTATTTATCTAAGCTAAGCTAAGATTGAAGTGGATGAGTGCATTGTTACATTGCGGAGAAAAATGGTGGAGCTTCAGTACATCATCCCATCTTTGAAGTACGGGAGTGCCAGCATCATGTTGTGTGGTTGACACGCTTCAGGAGAGACCAATGAACTTCACAAATAGGACATAGCATAAAGAAAGAACTTTATGTGAAAATCTGGAAGAAAAAAAAAAAAGGGTCTTTCAAGTGGAAAATTAGCCCGAGCGCAATAGTAAGTGAACTGCAACTTGACTTACTGTTTTGGAATCACCACAAAGCTCTGATTTCAGTTCCTCCTGAAAATTTCAAGGCAGCCCTAACAAAGGTGTGTAAGAAAAGTGGCTACAAACTTGACTTATGTTGCACCACTTCAGTCAGAAGGAACCATGATTTAATATCAGATACCGGGGGGAAAAAATGTAAAGGTTATGTAGATACCTGGTTGAAACAGAAGCTCACATCTTTCAATTTTATAAGCTTTTACAAAGGTCATGGAAATTCAGCTCAACTCAATTCTGAAACAAAAAAGAAAGAAAAAAAAAACCCAGATGACATCCCCGTCAAATATCCAAAGCTAAAATAAAAAACAAACAAACAAACAAAAAAAAAACCCTCTCCTCACACAAACACGCTGCTGCTGATTCAGGCCTTTTGAAATCACACAGACAGCACCCCCGCCCAGTACGCACTCCATCAGCTGATTCGCCACAATAACCCAACAACAAACCTGCTGCAGTCACGACAACAAACAGTTTAAACGCTCCCAGCGGAAAACCTGCAGTGACCTGGAATGCAGTTGCGACACTAAGCGACGTAGCTGACACGGCAGCAGGCACATCCGCCTCGTCACCATCCAGTTCTGGGCATTACCACATAATGGGGAAGTTGCTTCAAGTTCAGCAAAATAATATTTTTTTTTTTTTTCAAAGAGAATAACAGATATTTTCCTTTGTGTTCTGCTGTTTGCACCCGTGGCGAGTATTAGCTGTACACGTCAACATGGCTGTGGAGATTAGTAGTAAAAACATCACCTCACAATCTTTAAGTAAGTGTGCACAGGGTTAAATAGTGACAAAAGGATTAAGTTACCAGAATCTCCTTCTATTTTTGTCCGACCATTTGCTTCCAACTCCAGGGAAGTTGTGTGTTCGTGCCAGCGGTAAAACGGACAAGCCTGAACCGTCAATTAGCTGCTCGTCTAATTGTTGAGCGCTCAGGACAATGTTACTGTGATATGCACTTTTCTAAATCCTGTTCTGATGTCAATTTACCTGGAGGCGTCTTCACAGCTGGGCACAAGAACGTCTGAAGGCTGGACACACATAGCTCGCTCACCGTCCCCATGGCCTCAGAGAGGGATTCTGTATCTGTGTGTGAAGTCGCCGTTAGTGGCCGAGCTGCTCCTTTGACACGCCGCTCAGCTCGGTGAAAAGGGGAAGTTCAAAAAAACCTTCAATCCACACTGTGGCTGTTGACAGTAACTCCTTGTCATAGAGAGACTCCCAGCTGTTTCCCTGAGTGGCTTTGCTTCACTTAATCCCCGAGTCGGATGACTTCTCTGCCTTCCCTTGCGAAAAATAAAAATCTCTCACACTCACCAACTTTCTCTTCCCCTTTGATTAGAATGTGCAACTTGCTGGGATGCTGAAATCACTTCTGCTTTCTCCCTCTTCCCCCTTTTTATGTTACATGTCTTTGCCTCAGCCTTTCTCTCTCTCTCTCTCTCTCTCTCTCTCTCCCCTTCTCAGCTCTCTGCTGCTGCTTGGTATACAGGACTATACTCTATCAGTCAGTCCTGTGTCACACTCCCCAGACTGAAGACTCAAATGGAAAAACATGCACGACCTTCGCTATGAACTGTCAGCAGCTAGCCCAAGCCGATTTTTGATTTCAGTCTCTGGCCTCGGTGGTTTTTCTCATTTTCTTGATCTCAAAAAGCTGTATTCACCCCTAAAAGTAATGAAAGCTTTGAGATATGAATCGCACAGGCAACCACGCAGTCTTACAGCAGCGCAAACTGTGTTTATAATCACGAAACAATTTGCCGTGTTTACTCACTTCACTTTACTCTTTGGCTGGCATTATTTTTCCTGCCACTCTGAATCAGCCTGCTTATCAGTCACACAAACCATCCCCAACACCTGAACACATGCTTCTCTCTCTGCCATTAATCAAGTCATCAACTCATCCCTCTTTGTCAATCACGCTTGTTTCAAGGGCGACACAGCATCAACTTGGTTTAGGCAGCCATTACTGAAAGCAGCTTTTTATCATATTTTTTTTTTTGTACAGTGTGCACGAGTATTCCAACTGTTGTCGCCCCCGTTTCATCGCCAGAGGTCCAAATGCTTCAGCTTGACCCTGGCATGAACTGCAATGGCTGCTTTAAATGCTTACAGCTGCACATCACCCAGAGGAACGACACACAGAGGAGTCAGCACTAAGGCACATTCCAGTTTTATTTAGGGTGAATGTTTTCTGCTTGAACTTCAAAAGACACCCTCAGCAGTCCTAGCATAGATAGATGTGAATAGATGGTGGGACTGTTCACGGATCCACACATTAATACTTTAAAAACCTTAGCGAGAGTCCAAAAGACAAGCCACAGTGCCTTGCAAAACTGACCAAGTCTGAAAATTGTGTATTTTAATTGAGCCTCTTTTACTCGTAAATGATGTAACCAATTGTCTTCAGAAGTCACTTAATCTGCACATTGAGTCCTGCTGTGTATAATATTAATAAAGCTGTTATGTGAATGCCACCGAAGTTTGCAACATCAAGACCACACCAGAAAGGTCAAGAATAAAATTGTGCAGAAGTTGAAAACATTATAGCACTAAAAATTGACAAAAACAACTGTCTTCCACCTAAACAGGACTGGCAAGGAGAGTATTGATCAGAGAAGCAGCCGAAAGGCAGCGGTAACTCTGGAAATGCTATGGTTGGCAAAAAAATTTATCTCCCTGAACACACCATCTCCATGTTAAAACCTGGTGGTGGTAGCATCGTGTTGTGGAGGGGGTTTTCTTCAGAAAAGACAAAGCTGATCAGACAAGGATAAGGTTAAATACACAGTAAGGAAATTGAAGAAATGCAGCTGAGAAGCATATTTGATTTTAATTTCCAAATCATCATTATGTTTTACCTTGTTTTAGCTAATCCCATAAAATCCCAATCATAACTTTTTGACAAATGGCTGTTTTGGTGCGCTGGACACTGAGACATTGTTTTCCCAGTACTGCATCATCTACAATAGACAGAGATAAAATAAAATAAAAGTACGCATAAACATCTATTCATATGTTTCTTTATGCCTTGTTTTTACAGGTACTGGTAAAGGGAACGGAGTAAAATGCATCGCAAAGCAATACGCCTGGAATTTTACAGATATTTGATACAGCCACACCTCAGTGATTCATTGCGGTCGCACTAAGAGACAAACATCATCATTTTCGACATGAGCGCGGTGACGGAGGTGTGATTTCCTGCATGTATGCAGAGCGTGAAGGCCACACAAAGCCAAAACAGCACATGCCACCAAGTGGACAAAATATGCCATAGCAACACCTTTGATTTCATTACAACAGCAACGCTGACCTGTTTCTGGAGCCTGGCAGACGACGTTTCCTCATGTCTAATAATATTGGGATGGATATGGATGTGTCCCCTAGAGGTTCTTCACGCAGGAGGAGAACTTTTCCTCGCTGAATATAAAACACACAGAGAGCTCCACTGTTCTGTGTTGGAGGAACTCCCACACATCAGTCAAATGCTAACACCACCTCGGCTGACTAACAACTGGTGGAGAGGAGGCTGATTCAGCCCCGCTGCAAATGCATTCAACTGGATATGCATAACAATTACAATAGCTATTGATTATGATCAAAGAAAACCAGAGTATGTGGTTTAAACTTGTGTGAGACTTACTGTGGTATTTATTTTTAGGAAGAAGTCCCTTTTTAAATCTGGTTTAATTTAGTGCACTTCTTAAAAGCACTCAGGTTTATTTTTAGAGTTTTATCTGACCTGATTTGAGGAGATTTGACAGAATATTTGAAGCTGCAAATCTTTTTGAATCATTTTTTTTAAAAGATATGTCACAAAAAAAATTTACAGATATGATATATTTTTAGAAATGCTTCAAACATTAGAAGAACTTATCAGTAATGCATTGTCTTGATAAAAGTATTCATACTACTTGAACAGCAAAAAACTTCAGTGGATTTTACTTGGCTTTTACTTGATGGACTAACACGGAGAATGGAATAATTGTGACATAAAAAGGAAAATGAAGAGTTTCAAAGCTATTCTTTGTGTGAAAAGTAATTTGAGCAGATAACAGTAAAAATAATATGTTGACAGAAAACTAAAACACCTAACACACCAGTCTCACTGTAGAAAATAGTGGTGGCATCAACATGCTGGGGTGGGAGGGTGGGGGTACACAAAAGTTTGTGGTTAGGAGGTGACACAACATGAAAGGATTCAAGAATGCATTTGAAAGAACTGGGTATTATATAGAGTGCATAATATATAGATTACTACATCTCACCTTGTCAATCACATTGCAGATAGAGATCAAACACAGAGAGGCAGAGAGAAGACACCCATAACCGCATTTACCACACCTACCTGCAAATGTGGAGCTCCACGCCTGTGATCTGATGCACCATTTCCTGTGTACGTACACATTCTATCATACAAAGAGAAACGGGGCAGAACTGAACTGACAGGTGCAGGTAAGATGGCAAAACGCAAAGAAAAGATAAAGCCACTTTGACACCGAGCAGCTGAAAGCCTTTGAAGAGAGTCTCACAAACAGAGTTGCACCCTGATGAATTCAGAGGAAGAAGGAAGGGAGGTGGGGGGGTGGAGGGGGTTAGGACAAAGGCACCGAGCCACATCGGCAGGGCAGGGTTTGAGAGCAGGACAGGACATCAAACAACATCTACAACTTCAGACGCGCAAATACGTGGTGTAAGTCTAACTTTACGTTAGACTTACACCACAGAAAACTTGTGAGGCTTGGCGGTTGTATGCTTTCTTTTATAGAGACAGAAGCGATGACATGACTTGCACTTTGTGCCTTCGCGTTCACAGTATGACAGGCACAGTGACTAATGTCCTTTCATCTTCACCTCACACTTTTGCTGGTCATTAAAAAAATTAACTAATTCATTAGATGCTTTGCCAATAGAAAAGACACGAAGAAAAGGAACGCCTGCAAAAGCAATCTCAATGCAACCTTTTCCTAAAGCCACAGGGATAAAAAAAAAAAAACAAACAAACACAATCTACGCTTGGAATAAGTTTCCTTAACGCATAGAGAAAACACATTTCATCTTAATTTAGCAATAGGTTTCTCTACTGCCAGTTGTTGTTTCCCTCCCTTCCTCCTGTCAACACTGCATCTAAAGAAATCCTGCAATGAGGCCACTGCCAGAGCTTCTATTTTAAGAAGCACCAAGCTCAGAGAAACTCTAAATAGCTTAATAATTGACATGATGCTCAATCACAGCCTTCACTGAGCCGTCCTGCTACCTCACCTCATCGAGGCCTGACATCATCAGACAGGTCATCTCATAAAATGAAGTCAGGACTTTCCAGTAAAACATTGGTGACAGCATCACCGAAGGCTATGTCATCCTTTCATGCCCTGTGAATTATCAGCGTGAGTTCAGATGAGCAGGGAAAGCAACTTTTTAAGCCGTATTTGCGCCGTGCTGTCAGAGCTGCAGTGTGATGCTCAATAATTTAGCATGCAGATCTTTTTTTATGTCTCAGTGGCTGTGCATTCCACAGAGGCCACCTGTTTTAAGGGAAGCTTATAACGGGCTACTGTATAAACAAACCCATTGAAATCCACTGCGGATAACGAGACTTCTGGTTTTAACATTTCTTACTACACATCACCAACACGCACAGCTTTATAGACTGTGGCATTTCTGACTGGCACCGCATACCACGCACATAGATGTCAGAAACATGCATTCGAATCTGCATCAAAGCTGAAAGCCAAAGTGTCAAAGACAAACCGTGACTCTCCGCCTCCATTCCTGGTGGTCCTGATGCTGCCGCGGGAGTCACTGACCGGGGGATGCCGCTCCCTGTCGCGCCCGGAGCGGATCCAAACACCTGCCTCCCCTGCTCTGTTACTTCCTTCTTCCTTCCAGCACTGCTCGTCTCGCTGCTGTCCTCCCTCAGCCTCCTCCGGCAGCAGCCTTGAGATCCAAGTTCACCGAAATCTTTTTTTTTTCTTCTTCTTTACTTCTGTTGCTGTTACATTTGCCTCGCTGCCACTCTGTTTTCAGACTGAGATGTGCCCGTTTTGTCCGGTGTTGGGTGCTCGCCGATCCGCCTCCTCACTCGGGAGGAACCGGGCCACATGCTGGGCCCCTCCCACCCCAGATGTGATGTCACGGTCTAACTCACCTTTTAACTTTTCTCAACACTTAAATGCATCTCAGAGCAAATAATGCAAATTAAAGTATTTTTGTATGGCAAGCGAATGCTTTTCTTTTTATGTGCTTGAGTATGTTTATTTTTTTTTTTAAAAAAACCTATTTTTACATTAGTGTCCTGTAATTCTTTAACATG